TGGATGGATGGATGGATGGATGGATGGATGGATGGATGGATGGATGGATGGATGGATGGATGGATGGATGGATTTCTACATCTATATTTACATTAAAAAGATCCAGCTTTGATCCTTTTATGATTTCTCACTCACTTCACAATAAAGTCCGTACATCTCTGAAAGTTAAAGTTTACTTTCCAGACTTTTTAAGCAGTTTAAAAAAAAAAAACTTTTTGGATTTATCAACAATTTTCCCCTAACCTTCTCAGCCAACACCTATGTACCTTTCTGTAAGTTAGTAGGTGCTGTACACGACTTTCTAGGTACTTTTCCAAAAAGTATAAACAAAGTTTGGGTGATTAGTTTGTATTTCCACAGACAGTACCCCATTAAAATCTGCTCATAATGCAGCCCAGCTATCAAAAGTTCAAGGAAAAGACCTAAAGAGTTTTGAAAGGTATATAAGTTCTGTAAAATATTATAGTAATTTCCTACAAAATTATTATCTTAAAGTAATTTGTAACTTCAGAACTAAGTAGAAAGTAAAACTGTTTAAACTGTTTAGAAATTGTAAACCTTAAAATTATGACAATGTATTATTTGATGCTATGTTTTAACTTTGTTTCATCCCATTTTGCAGCTCAGTGAGGCTGAAATGTTCTCAAAATAATCAAGTCATTTTTAATTTACTTAACTCTAAACTAATCATTGTTTCCTCTCCTGTGTTGCCAGTGAGACGTCAAAATATGAAAGTTCGTATCAGCGCCAAAGGAGACACAATCGTGATGAAGTTTCTCCGCCCAAACACTGACACCAAGCTTGAGGGCTACATCCTGGGCTATGGCAGCAGCATGTTCTCCAAGCAGTTTATTCAACTGCCAGAAAACGGACAGCCATATGAGACTGAGTTCGGTAAGAATGTGTGGTGCTGGTTCTGATCTCCACAATATGACTACATCTGTGGAGCCTAGGAGCTTATTCATAACTGGCCTCATGTGTCTGTTGTGTTAAGATGCTGAACCCAAGTACCTCATTGCAGTCCAGCCGATCCAAGCCAACGAGGTGAAAAAGCAATGCAAAGGTACATGAAAAGAATTATTTTCAACTTGGACCAGATAAATAGGAGTGAATTGAATTTAAAAGTGATCCAATTATTTTTGTTTTTTAGGTAAAGTGGAAATTGAAAAGCCTTTGCATTTGGTCATTGGGTCAGTGACGCCCACCTCGGTTCTTCTGTCCTGGGGGACGCTGTTAAAAACCCCCTATGAGGGGAACATCATGAATGACTGTTTAGAAGATGGGTGAGTGTGATTACTGATCATTTTCTGAGACACAATACAGGGTTTACAAACACAGCCTCACTCTGGAACACACATTTCTTTAGACCAACACAAAGCGGAGAAAAACTATGAAGTGGTCAAAGTAAAAACAATAAATAAAAAAAGGATCAACTTTTGTGTCTTACTTAGAACATTGTTAGGATTAAATTAAAACTAAAATGCTTTGATACATCAAAACCTGGCGCTCTAATGCTTGTTCTGAAGAACACCAAACACATGGATCTCTTGTTTATGTCTGTTCATTAGAGCCAGCAGGGGTGCACACACTCAGCAAATCGTATCTGTGTTTTATGTCAATAATTTGATGCATTATTGATTTTGTGACTCTTTAATTTATGTGGTGTAACATCTAATATTCTAACTGAAAGGAATAAAAATGATGTATTTGGTGGTCATATTGTTTTAAACTCACAGTATATTCTTTATTTGGATAGTTTCTTCTTTGTCTAATATACTTAAATAATTTTATTCCTAAAGTGTTTAAATGCTTAAAAAAGACACTTGGAAGAGGTGTTGTCACGTACTATGCCTGTAAAAATAACATACCAAAAGTCATACATTGGGGCAAAAAAGTATTTAGTCAGCCACCAATGATGCAAGTTCTCCCATTTAAAAAGATGAGAGAGGCCGGTAAATTTCATCATAGATATACCTCAACTATGAGAGACAAAATGAGAAAAAAAAAATCCAGAAATTTATTTGCAAAATATGGTGGAAAATAAGTATTTGGTCAGTTACAAACAAGTAAGATTTCTGGCTCTCACAGACCTGTAACTTCTTCTGTAAGAGGCTCCTCTGTCCTCCACTCGTTACCTTCATTAATGGCACCTGTTTGAACCCGTTATTAGTATAAAAGACACCTGTCCACAACCTCAAACAGTCACACTCCACCATGGCCAAAACTAGAGAGCTGTCAAAGGACACCCGAAACAAAATTATAAACCTGCACCAGGCTGGGAAGTCTGAATCTGCAATAGGTAAACAGCTTGGTGTGAAGAAATCAACTGTGGGATCAATTATTAGAAAATGGAAAACATAAAAGACCACGGATAATCTTCCTCGATCTGGGGCTCCACGCAAGATCTCACCCCGTGAGGTCAAAATGATCACAAGAACGGTGAGTAAAAATCCCAGAACCACACGGGGGGACCTAGTGAATGACCTGCAGAGAGCTGGGACCAAAGTAACAAAGGCTACCATCAGTAACACACTACGCCGCCAGGGACTCAAATCACCAGTACATGTCAAGGCCCGTCTCAAGTTTGCTAGAGAGCATTTGGATGATCCAGACGATGACTGGGAGAATATCATATGGTCAGATGAAACCAAAATAGAACTTTTTGGTAAAAACTCTACTTGTCGTGTTTGGAGGAGAGAGAATGCTGAGTTGCATCCAAAGAACACCATACCTACAGTGAAGCATGGGGGTGGAAACATCATGCTTTGGGGCTGTTTTTCTGCTAAGGGACCAGGACGATTGATCCGTGTGAAGGAAAGAATAAATGGGGCCATGTATCGTCAAATTTTGAGTGAAAAACTCCTTCCATCAGCAAGGGCATTGAAGATGAAACGTGGCTGGGTCTTTCAGCATGACAATGATCCCAAACACACCGCCCGGGTAACGAAGGAGTGGCTTCATAAGAAGCATTTCAAGGTCCTGGAGTGGCCTAGCCAGTCTCCAGATCTCAACCCCATAGAAAATCTTTGGAGGGAGTTGAAAGTCCGTGTTGCCCAGCGACAGCCCCAGAACATCACTGCTCTAGAGGAGATCTGCATGGAGGAATGGGCCAAAATACCAGCAACAGTGTGTGAAAAACTTGTAAAGACTTATAGAAAACGTTTAATCTCTGTCATTGCCAACAAAGGGTATATTACAAAGTATTGAGTTGAACTTTTGTTATTGACCAAATACTTATTTTCCACCATATTTTGCAAATAAATTCTTTAAAAATCAGACAATGTGATTTTCTGGATTTTTTTTTCTCATTTTGTCTCATAGTTGAGGTATATCTATGATGAAAATTACCGGCCTCTCTCATCTTTTTAAGTGGGAGAAATTGCACTATTGGTGGCTGACTAAATACTTTTTTGCCCCACTGTATGTCCATGTGAAAATAAAGAGACATATGCCAAGCATTTGTCCTTATAGTAACTTGGTCCTTTTTAGCCTGAAAATAATTTTTGCACTGGGTGTGATCAGTAGACATAAATGTTGTTGGACGCCGTCGCCATCTGCTGACATTATGTACTCATGTATCCATCAAGTTACCACCTTACAAGCCTTTAGCTTCCATTTCAGTCTACACCAGCATTCATACTGTATTCCATGTGCCACTTGTGTTTTATCGATCTTAAACATAATTTTTTAAGGATTTTTAAACTTGCCGCTGTTCTTTTTTAACACCTCTGCTGGGGACCTCCTTGTTTCCAAATGTTTTCCTTATTTACTCATTGTACACATGCACAGTGTCATGTTTTAAGTCACAGGGTCTTGTTATGGTAAGCACGGAAATATCAGTGAACAGGAGCCATTATTCGTTTCAAAAAGTCTTTATATGCTCCCATAGTGACCTACTGCTGTAGAAATTCATAAATAAATAATAATGTTGTATTAATAGTTACTAGGCATTTTTAACAACACCACTTTTGGAATGCACTCAAATGTGATAATTAAACTTTACTTTAAAGGAAGGTGGAAAATAAAATCTTCATATGTTTTACATCTGAACTGGCCCATAGAATAAAACCTTCTGAAATTTCTAATAAATTGATGAATATTTATGTGAACCCTTTGATAAAGTTGTTAAATTTTGTTCTGCTCTTTACTCTCCTTGGTTCAGACATTACACGGTTCGCTACCGTGAGAAGCACAGGAAGTGGAACTACCAGACCTGCCCGACAAGTAATACAGTCATTGACAATCTGAAGCCACATACTGTCTATGAATTTGGTGTTCAGCCTAACTCCAAAGATGGCTCCGGGGTGTGGAGTAAACCCGTAGCTTACAACATCAGCACTACAGGTCACCAGGGTATGTTTGATTCATTTGTCTTGCTCCTATACAGTACCTATCAGTCTTCAATCATCCCATAATTTTTTTTTTATTCAGTGCAGTTAATTTGTCCACTTAATCACTGAAGATATTAGAATAACTCAGGACTCAATGGAATAACTAATTATATATCAACAGAGGTTACATAAATTTAGCCAAGAGTAAACTTCAGATTTACAGTAGATATGTTGATATTAGTAGCCTGTTACAATAACAGATTTTTCCTTTTAATTCAATATCTTAATTTTCTATGGTCAGTGATACTAATGTTAACTGTAAGAAAGAGTATTGTACCGACCTGGAAACAGAGCTTTAAGAAGAAAACATGGAAACTGAAAGATCTAAAGCTCTGTTCTAACTAATCATTTTGAGGTGTGTTGTTTTTTTAGATAGCGTCTTCGTGGTCTGATTTTAATCAGTCTGTTATTTTGAAAACTTTTCACTTTGCACATAATGTCCAGTTCAGGATTTTCACTTACTTATAACTGTCATGCGGATGCCCTGTAGGGCAGCATCAATGGCACAGTGGGTAGCCATGCATGAAGAAGGTCCTGATCTGACTAGTTTGCATGTTCTTCCCATGCACATCAGCATTCTCTGAGGATTCCTTGCACTCTTTGCAAAATGTGCCACTTATCTCTGTCTAATTCCTCTTAGGAATTTATGTTTGCATGTTTGTCTGTCATGCGTTTCTATGTTGGCCTGTAATGGATCGGATTACCACACCTCTGGCCAAATTTCTACAGTTTCTACAGAAAAACTGCATTTTTCAGCTTCTAAACTGAGAAGTTTTCAGATGAAGGTACATAAGAATACTTACCAGTGATGTTCTTGATGCTGCAGTCTTTTCTTTTCTTTTTTTCTGCACTGTATAGCTATTATCAACTGTAGATTACAATAAAATTATTGCTTTATCATTTATTTATAAGCACACTTTCCTGATCTGCAAATTAGGGACAGGTGCATTTATTTTAATAATATATATGTAATCACATTTACAGTACCTGGGGGTAAATGGAGCTTTTAAAAAAAGATTAAAAGGCAGCAAGAGACAAAACAAATAGAGTGAAAAAAATCTTTTAAGATGGCATTTTAAGTCACACAGCTGTTTATAAGCAAATCAAAATTATAACTAAACTAAAAAGGTCAAAATCTAAACACAGATCTACCTTTTACTTTTCTGGCAGTAAAAAAAAAAGATGTTTTATGTCTAGGAATGTGGTTTTTCTGGACAAGAAGGGCCCCCTGATAATGCATTATTACGGTCAAGGTTGGACACAGTAAAACGATGCTTTCAAGATCTTTAGGGCTTGCCAAAAAACTGTCCATGTGGACACAGGCAGACCCAAATGATGAGCCTTCATGAAGATTATTTCATCCAAAAAAACTGAAAAAGGTTGTCAGAGAAGTGCTCAAATTAACAAAAGCAACTCAAAATGTCATGTCTCCTGTCAAACTTTTACATTTAAAGCAGCTAACACAGAAGAATGAAGCTGGTGGAAGAATTTATTCTGAGACATGAACGAAAAACTAAATAAAAAACTGCGCATTCTCGCATCAAACTAAACAACCGCTGAGATATTTGCATCACTATTGACATGGCGTCCTCCTTTGTGCATTGATGTCTGGGTCTTACAAAGGAGCAATACTGTAGTTCACATCAGTATGACAAAAAAAAATAATACTTTGAGGACAAAAAGGTTTTTCTTTTGCACAGTCTGGTGTCCTTCCTCTCTTTCACACTGACAACATTTAGTTATGGAAAGCAAAAACGGTTAACAAAACTGAATGCCTGTTCCAGGTGTGGTTGCTGGTTAAGGAGATATCTTTGCCATGGGGAGCAATGTTCCTTCATGCTGGAAGTACTATCATTCAGTGATGAAAACAAATTAATCAAGAGTGAGCACATGACTTAGAGTTTGCTGTTTTTTCAGAAGCTAAGTTCTGTTTGTTGTAGTTTTTTTGTGAGCAATAAAGTCTTGACAAGCTGAGGAAAGCTTAAATACAGTCTTCAATCATTTAACCTCTTGTTTTTTTATCTTTTGCATTTTGAACTCAAGGTTTTGAGATTAAAAGATAGTACAACTTCTAATGATGCATCTGCTGACCAAAACTACTGTTCCTGTTCCGCCTTACTCTTTTCAGGGGCAGAATTTTTGATTAAATGTAGCATAAAGTCAGGATGTTGATTTTCTATTTTGATCTAAGTAATTGGTCAATCAGTTCATGATGTATTTTGATGCAGGTGGTTGTGAGGATAGAGATTACAAACAGAAATTGTTCTACTGCTTTTTCACCAATGGCCTTTATTTAATTGAATGCTGAGAAGGGTTGAGAGAATCCTCAAACGCCCCTTAAACATGAGGTTGAGGCCTCTGATACTGTTGCATAGAGGTGAAAATGCATTGCAAATACATAAACAAGCAAAAAATGCAAAAATTACAATAAATGCAAAAATAAGCCCATTAAACTCAACAACTCGATATGCATAAACAAAAAAAAAGACCAAAACAAAAGGTCGCAAAATAGAAAGTAGAGGGGAGAAAAGTGCAATGGCTGTGCATATTCTTAATATAATGCAAACAGATAAATGATGCTAAATAAAACATGGAAATAGAAATGTTGCAAGTAGCAAGAAAAAAAATAGTATGTTAAGAAAAGCTGCGAATGGGATCATTACTTTATATTGGGCCATATTCTTAGAAAAGACAAAAAGAGAATGCTGGGATCCATAAAGGAGCCAGTTTATGATTTTTCTAAGATTCTGGTTCATAGACATCAGTTGGTAGTTATGATTGTGGTGTGATACCATATAAGCTAGGGGTGGCCAATTCCAGTTCCTGAGTGCCGGTACCCTGCAATTTTTAGATGCATCCTTGGTCCAACACACCTGAATCAAATGGGTGGATTATCTCCTCGGTATGCAGTCTGTGGATTAAGTATCACGTGTCACTCCCAATAGAGTCTAGAGAATTTTTTTTTTTTTTTTACCTAACTTGTGATTTCCTGTCAGTGTGAGGAAGATGCAGCAAACCAGCGAAACTTACATTTGGAGGAACATGTTTCCCCCGCCATTAGGTCGCCGTTACACCTGCTGCCAAATCCCAGCGAGCCTGCAATGATGCAGACTCACTATCTAAGGGCTGAACGAGTCCTCTCAATAGTTTAATTACATAATTCAGATGTGTTGAATCAAGGGCACATCTAACAGTTGCAGGATAGCTCCCTCAGGGTTTGGAATTGCCCACCTCTTCCCCTTGTGGTAAGGAGCACTTCCATTATGCTGAGCTCTTTTGAAGCTTTTATTAAATTGCATTTTTTGTGCTTCTTGAAACGTCTTTCCTTTCATTTCATTTGTTTTTGTGTTCCCATCATTTATGAATTTGCAGCAGGTTTGAACTTCATTGTTCTCTATTTTCTTCACCTTTGCATGTGTTTTATGTTTTCACTATATTTTTGTTTGCTGGTCTCATTTTTATCTTTGCATTGCTTTTTGTACCTGCTGCACATTTATGTATATGCAGCTCATTTGCACCTCTCAACTTGTGTGCACTAAAGATTTGGTGTATGGTCCTTCATTGATTATCGAAATCCTTATATTTCATCTGTAGCAAGTGATATCATTTCAGGTAGCTGCTGTTGCTTCCTGTAGCACTGAATTAACCTTGTTTGTTTATTTGTGTTTTTAGAAAAGGTCATCAGAAGAATCTCAAAGTATCCAAGCCCCATGGTATGTGAAGAATATGTTTTATATCCATATAAAAGCAAATATTTCCTCTGAGATGTGCGTGTACTTATCCAGTGCAGTTTTTTCAAGAGTATTATACAAACTTATGGTGGTCAGGTTTATTGATTCTTCAGCAAATATTAAGCAAATAGACAACATTTTAAAACAGGATGTGTGTGTGTGTTTGGAGCAGATGTTTTGCAGCAGAGTCCTTGTTATAAACTTTGATTCCATGCCATACTCTGGCTTGTGTGGCTTGTTGATTTTCCATGGAATTGCTAAATGGAAATTATATCAGTGCAGCCAGGATTAGCCAAGCTATGGAGAGGTCTGCATCTTACCCTGCTGTACAAAGAGAAGAAAACCGTGGATAGATCTGAGTGGAAAACTGAATGGGGACCAGAGAGCTGAATTAAGTAGAGAGAATAAAGGTGGAAAGCATTTTCTGTCTTGTCTATGCTCACTGACAAGCCTGCTTCTCATTGGGCAGCCTCGTCAGTTTCATGTGGGTACAGATTTCTTATAAGTTATGAACTTCAGAAAAAGGAATGGCAGCTATAAATATTTACACACTGGCTTGCTAGAATTGTTTAAAGCTAATATCTTTTCCTTTCCTCTGTCTTTCTTCCAGAAAATCTCGACTCCAGCCACTCCGTTATTCCAGTTTCCTCCTCAGCATGGTAAGCCTGCAGAAAATATTAGTCTCCTCTTATCTTAAACACGGAAACATTTAATTCATAGATGTCATTACATATCCAATTTTATAAATTTCTGTTTCAGCTCCCTCTCCTTCCTTTTTACACTGACCTATTAAACAGGTTTGACTTGATGTGTGATCCATTGTGATGCAGACTGGATCATTTTATCAGATGATGTTGGACATTGCAGAAAATGGCTGACGCTAGGAATTTCAAAGCATAGCATTTTAACACACCTTAGTGGATTGTTGTTTAAATTCTCCAACTCATTAAAATTATCACATGTTTTATATATATATATATATATATATGTATATAGCAGCTTCTAGTAATCTAACCGCGTTTTAATCAGTGGCGGCTGGTGGAGTTTTCTCCAGGGGGCGCTATAACTTCAAAATAGGCGTTTACCAAAAACCACTGAAACGTGTACTAAGATACCACACCATTATACTTCCATGAATGCCAACAACAAAAAACAACATTATAAAATTTTCTAAAAAGTGCTTTAAATCAGTCCCACCTGTCTTTATCCCTGCTGGGTCAGATTCTGACGTTTGAAAAAGGAGGCAGGGAAAGCAGAATAAAGCGTTAGCCTCGATGCATGCCGTTAGCATGGCCTTGTTGCTAAATAATTATATAAACCTGTCAATCAGACGCACTTTATAACAGACGACTGTGACGCCAGCGCTATGGCGGGAGCTGGTGTGCAAATAAAGTTGCTTTAAGCTCTGGGAGCAGGAGAACTGCGCCCAGGATGGTCCCAGCTTTTGTATTGCAAAGGGGCTACTGCATAGGTACAACTTTTAACGAGAGTCTATGGGAAAATAATTTTGCGCCCGAGGGCGGAAATACGTCACCAATCTGACATCGAACGAAACAGCTGTACCCGTCATTAAAGATTAAATATTTATCTTGGACATCTAAAAAATATATTAATATATTTCAAAATATATTAATTTTATAATTTAACTTTTTTTCTTATGGGTGAGCCGAATGGTGCCCTTACGCCCTCTATTGGCCGCCACTGGTTATAACAGAAGTATATCAGCTCTAAGTAATAAGTGGTTAACAAAAGTAAGCTTTTAGCTGACCAGCAAGCTTTATATCCAATTTCCTTCATAAAAAAGGATGGTATCCCTTTATTTTTTAACAACCTGGCTTTCTTGTTTCTTGCAACCAGCAACCCAGCATACTGGTCCTTCTTGGATTGTGATGATTATGACTAATTGCAGCTGATTGGAAGTAACTTGCTTGGGAAATTTGAGCAGGAAAAGTTAAACCTAAAAGATTTTCCTAACGAATTATTACATTTACAGAAGCTTGAACTCGATGTATCTTTTACAGTGTTTGGATTTTGAAGCACAGAAACTTTAGGTAATCATTTCTGGAAATGCGTTTATCAGAATGTGCTACTCTATGGTGGATGTATTGTGATTTTGATGCGGTATTTCCCTTTGAACTGTTTAAATGTAACAAAACCTCTTCACAGACGCTTAACCATTTTTATATTTTGTAATGTCTCTCTTATCCCTGCCAGCCTTTAAAAACAGGACACGGGGCAGACAGTTCACCTCAAGAATCAAAATCCAACAAGCAACTCCTGGTAACGACTTTTCTGGCACCATTCAGCTGTCAGAAATAATTCTGAACATTTGATCAAAAAAACTCTCTCTTGAATGCTACATTTTTCTTTTTGTGCAGGAAATCCTAACTACTTTTACTCTTCATACAGGAAATGCAATAATACTTTATCCCTCAGGTCTACTAACACTTATTGTATTTATCAGCTCCTACAACAGCAGCTAAGCAGGAAAGTCTGTCAACACCTGGATCCAAACTGTCCGCAACCAACAAGCAGACTATCGGTAAACAAAAACTTTTTTTTCTGACCGTCCTTAACAATTCCCACTGTAATTGTTGTATGAACGATGGCAGACTGGAAGGATTAGGTTGAGATGCTTTAAAGTTGTTTTCTGTTTCATGACCAAGCATAGCTCACACTGCGAACAGACCACAGCCTGTGCTGGAGATCCCATTAGGCTTCACTGAAGTTAGAATTGGGCATTTTTAGCCTGATAAACCAAACTAAATGTGAGTTTAAATGTGTAATTTAGTCTGACCCAAATGAATGAGACATCGGAAGATTGCTCATGAGAACAACCCTTTGTTTTTCAAACCGCTGGCTGTGCCCATTGGCCAACGCTCTGACCAATGAGCGCAACTGACTGTGACGTAGTAAGCGCGACAGAAAGCTGGTGGGGGAGTGTAAACAAACAGCAAGTCGGTAAAACGGCGAATACGTCCTTCTTAAAAATGAATGAGCGTAGAGCATCTTCCTGCTCACGTTTCAACGAAAACTCCAAGTCTAATCCTTCCAAAACTGATTCCAAAGCTGAGTCAAAAATCCCCATCAGAGCCAGCGTTCCTTCAAACACGGCTATGGCGAGAGAGGGCCGCTGCAGACGGTAAGCCCTGGCTGCCGTTAGCCTCTGCGGTCCGCTGGTTGCTGTGGTCCTCTCAACGTCGGAAATTGTTTCTTTAATTACGCATTAAATCGGTAAATGGACCATATAGTGACGCTTTGAAGTATAATATTCTCGCCTCAAATTATCTTAAAACGTACTTTATTTGAACAACAGCAACAGAAATGAGAACTTTTAACTTTCAATGGAACGCTTCATTGAAAGCTGCTGCTGCCGCAGTGCATGCTATTGTTCAATAGTTGTTGCCATCTTCCTTGTTGTGCTTTCTCCAGCATCGCACAGCTTTGTGATCCTTTTGACGCCCTCAAAACCCCGCCCACTTCGCATCCCGAAATTTAAAACACATCTCTGCGTTGTGATTGGCCCGCCAGTTCTAGGGCCTGGGGCATTGATCGAGGCTAGACGACTCGCAGGCAAAAATGATTTTGGCGGCTGGCGGGTGAAGCTAGTTTACTAGGAATGGGCATTTTAGCTGTGTGGTTATAATTAAAATAATATCATGAGGATAATTTTAAAGATGATCATAATATTTTAGCTTTTTATACTGTATTGTATGACTTTAAAAAAAAGTCCTATAGAAACCTGTTTACCAGATTTGAGCACACTGCTTGCTTTCTGCATTTCCTGTATTTCTTTGTTCTCTCCTGATCTTTGTCCTCATGTTTTTTTGCCCAATTTTAGGTTTTAAGGTGTGATATTTGCACCACATTTGTTTTTCTTTTTCTTTTTTTTGTCTAGGAACTTCCAAGAATTGGTTCATAATTTCTGTGCAGTTAAAAAACACATGTGTCTGTGCTTCCAGTGACACATCTCTTTGCACCTTTCCTTCTGCCTCTGCTCCAAACTAAACTAACACAGATGTTTTATTTATTAAACCTAATCCAAGGAACTTTTTGGACATTAAAAACTACATTTTCAATTACTTAGTGCAATAAGAGTCCACCAAAATCAATTGCAAGTGCACAGTTTTGCAGATTTTAAACCTTAGTCTACAAAACTCTGGTATTGTGCTAAAGACAGTGAAGGGAATGTTTTTTTATTTGTCTTTTATTTAAACACAAAAGTCCTGTTGAGTTAAAAACCTCCTTTTCAAGAGAGTATGAAATTATACACTTTTATTCATTTGAGTCCTTCTCCAGTTGGCCTCTGTATCATTGAGTCCAGTTACATGCACACTGAAATTTGAGTCCAGATTTTAAAGGTTCTGTGATTTCTTAAGTGATCATGGAAACAGAAACATGCATATGCATATACCCAAAATCAGATAAAATATTTCTCAATTTGAATTTCTCCCTAGTACTGACTACCTCGAGCATGTAAATGCTGTTGTCTGATTTCTTTGTTATTTAATATCTATGTCCATTTTCTAAAGCTGCTCCTCATAATATGGAGCATCTTTATAAATAGTCTGTGAGGTCACTCCTTATCGTTATTTGATGGGAGTTGGCAAACAGGTATCTCCTGAGAAGCTGCCTTTTCAATATAACCCTGCGCTGAATCTTCTCCTAATAATCCAGATGTACATATGTAAACAATGATTTCTTAAAAATCTAATTTCTGATATGCATGTAAACATGTTAGATATAATATAGAGGTTATGAGTTTTCCACAGTTATTGGATTTCTAATGTGCATAAACATGTTTTTAAAAATCTCCAAATATTCAGTCCAAGTGTAAAAGATAGAAACATTGATTTTGAAAGATATTTATGTTTTTTCTCTTAATTGGTGGATGGGACATGCTAATGTAGAAAGATATCTCAGGTTTGCTAAGAAGCATTCCTTACACATTTTATAAGTTCACAAGAAGCTTAAAATGTACGGAACTCATCTTGATCTAAAGATGTTTTCTTGTCCTACTGTCCATTCTTTCCTCAAGCTGTATCTTCTTTACCCTGCATTCTTACTTCAATGCCTACATCTGATTGATTTAATGATTGATTGGTTGATTGATGATTGATTGAATAACTAAGAAGTGATTGGTAAGTTTTTCTGACGCATAGCTAATGGTTTGGATGGCTATTACTCATTTGCAATCAAGGCTCTTACGACTCTGTCCAAAAACATAAAGCTCTTACATTGTAAATACTTTCAAATGGTTTGCCTATTTTTGAAAAAGGGCTATTCAGGTTATGTTTTTTTTTTTTTTTTTATCTATTGAATGGCACTTGAGATTAATGAGTTAAATCTAGTTTTTGTTGTTAGTTTTTTTTTTACCAGACCATCTCTGCCAATGAACGTGTCTAACATTTTTCAGCATGATGCCTTTATGGTTATATCTTCTCTCCCAGTCACACACAACCCAAGAGGAGAAGAATTCTCCAGACCTGTTTTTCCTCCTTTCTCAGAGGTACCTCTACCTCCCAAGGTCAACTCTGAAGTACTGTTTGGAGTCACCATTGCATCTCTGCCAGAATATCAAGGCAAACTGGAAAATCATGGCAACCATCCAAAGCACACCCCCTACCCTGAAGTTGAAGCACAGCCCCCACATTCAACGCCCAAACCTATCCAGCCTCCACTGAAACCAACTGATAAAAGTGTACAGCAGCTACAAACAACATCACAGCCTAACCTCCAAGCCAAACCAGAACCTCAAGTATTATCCCAGCCTGTACTGCAGACTGACCCACTTTCACATCCAAAACAGCCAGATTTCCCATCAGTTTCTTGGACAACACCGCTTTACTCTGAACCAAAGCTTCCCACATCAACCCAGACCAAACACCAGAACCAGAGGCTTACACAACTGAAACCAAAGAGCCAGAGCAGACTGCAAACACCAACTATAGCAGCTCCTCTGCCCCTCCCTGTAACACATGGTCAAACCAAGCAGTCTAGACATCAGTACACAGATCATGAAGAACAGTTACAGTCAAAGATAAACCCTCAACCCTCATTTAGGCCAGAAACTACCTTTTTGGGAAATCCACAAAATCAATCGCCAACAACACCACAAATACAACCTCAGTTAATCCAGCCAACACAAAAACCAAACATAACATTTCACCAGTCCAAGTCTTCCACCCAACTTCAACCCAGGAATGTGGCAAGAACGGATAAAAAAAACACAAACAGGCTCCGCTTTAAGAACCAATATGGTCTTGCAAATCAACAGTCTCACCCTCAGCCACAGTTTCCACAAAAGCACCCATTTCAACCCAGAGGTCTGCCTAAGGAACATCAACCACGGGTCAACTCTCAGACCAGGACCAGGTCTGACCCCTCCAAGGGTTCTCCAAGGAAGACTTTTAATAGGGGTAAAGACCAATTGACATTAGCACTCCCCAGTTAAGCACAAATACTTCATAAAAAAGATAATACAATGAGGGGGCATTTGATTGTGTTAGATTTAGAATTGTGTTACATTTTATAGTTAGTAACTTAGTAGCAAATCCATCTAAACAAGATGAGGAGATTTCAGCAGAGGAAGGTGAAGAATAAGAATACAAAAATAAAAAACAATTTGAGAAAAAAACAAAATTTAAAATAAAGAGATTGTATGTACAGTTCTAAAGATATATACAATATAACTAATAATAACATTTGACTTGATATTTAGAAAATTATTAATAGACAAGAACATAATTCTGTGCAAATCGTAATATATCAACAAATAGAATTTCAAAACATCAAATTCAGACAGAGGAGAAACTTTAACACTAATATTATTTCCAACATTAGACTTATGAAAATAATATTTACATGTATACATTATAGAACAGAGTAGAATACCTTTAATATTTGCTGTTCACTTTCTGTAGCAGAATCTGCAGATAAAAAGCGGGCAAACAGAAAAAAAATTCCTCCTGATACTTTTTGTTTTGAAAAAATTATTACCCACCTCTGCATTTAAGTAATATTTTTTGCTAAAACCAAGAATCCCTTTTTTCAATTTAACTTTTAATGATTAAAAATTTCACATACCACAATTTAAAGAAAAGCCTTTTTGTTTAGGAAATACTTGTAGTGCTTACATATCATTCATACTTTTCATTTGTCAACCTGTCCCTTGTTTTTGAACCAACATAATGCTACAACTCAAAAAAATAAATACAAGAAGCCTATTTGGGGTGTTTGCAATTCTACAGTAGGTCAGATTCAATTCAATTCAGTTGATTTATATAGCGCCAATTCACAACACATGTCATCTCAAGGAACTTTACAGTTCACCAGATCATCCAGTCAAATTGATTCAAAGTTTTCTATCTAAGGAAAACCAGATGATTGCATCGACTCATTGACTCGAATGCAATCCCTCACACTAAGCATGCTTGTAGTGACAGTGGAGAGGAAAAACTCCCAGATAACTTATTCCTCTCCATTGCTCCCTGAGGACATTCAGAACAACCAGATATTGCTACTGGAGCAACTCCACAAAAAATATTTTGATGCAAAATTATGTTTATATTCATGATTTTACAAACTTTGACATCAATTGCTCAAATAGATAAAAAAAATTACTAGTCCTGATCACATTGTCATTCAAAAAGTTAGGAGAGGATTGAAGTGATTTAAAAGACTCACTTTGTAAACAGCTCATTTAATAAATGCAGATCTGTTATCTGTTCTATTATATTTATATTTGTTATATAATAAGAATGATGGTTTTATGAACATCATTAGGATATGGAAATACTGTCTTAGCTGATATTCTGGTGAAGATTCTCTGTCATCCAATCATACTCATTCCAGAAAAGTTAAAAAGCAAACTACTGGACTTTTTTTTCCAAGTTTGAATACGTTTTGCTTCCCTTCCAAGATGATTTTTCAATAAAAAAAAATCTAAAATTATTGAATTGAAATTATCTTGTTTGAAAGAGCAGACCTTGAGACATTTTCTACACAACTGTAAAAAGCCAAGTACTTGTTCAAAGTAAGAACGTCATGTACCAAAAATCTCCCGTTACCATCTGTTACTTTCTTTCTTTGGTAGACTTATTGTTTGTCTACCAAGAGGTCGGGTCCTTTATTGTTAAGGTTATTGCAAACACCCTATTAGGCGGCAATGTCACCGCAACAGACAAACCAAATACGCACTTTATTTAATATTTCAAAATAAGTCTGAACTTGAGACAATGTGGATTTAGGTTTAAGGTTCAAGGCCCTTGATGATAGTATAGATTCCCTTTAATAGATAAAGTCTTGTGCTGAAAGAAACTGAGTATCTTCTTTTTGGCAAAGAGTATACTTTGTCATTAAATATTGTAGAGTTTTACTGTCACATAAAATCTCCTTAAACTCTATAAACTGTGAAATAAAAAGTCTATTTTTTTCGAAGAGCATTAGGGTGTGCCCCCTTTTATAATGCATTACAATACCGATGTATCCAAGATAAATTAGTACGCTTTTTTTCATACAGCTCCTAGTCATCCAGAAGAGGCCAGACCTCTACCAAGACCCGGCCCAGCCACAGACAAGGCTGGTAGTTACAATATTGGTAAAGTGCCATGACAAGTCCATGTCTCATCACCATTTCAGCTTTTCTTGTGACGTCAAGAAGCATTGTGTTTCCCCACCTCCATTTTCATCCTGCCAGCCCACACACCTCAACCCATTGTTGTGAATGTTTCCATGCTTCTTTCCATTTGCAGCAAAGTTTTCTCACACTTGAGCCCTTTTAACCACACCAGTCTGGCAAGCTTTGGATCTTATTTTATGCCGCTCTGTCATTTCATCCATTGTTCACAGGGCGTTCATTGATTTTCGCTTTTTGCTTTAAACATTTGCTCAGAACTTCAACTTTAAGGGTGGATCCTCTGTAATTTTCTCTCTGGTCCTTTAGGTTCTGGCACCATCAAATCATCCACTGCTCAAGTTTCCCGTTCTCCCATTAGCTCATCAAATCCCGCAGGAAGAAGGAATGCCACGATGACTCGCACCCGGGTTCCTTCTCATTCCAGCAATCCTGGTGTCAGACCACTCTCTCCATCCAAGACAGACACCGCCTCCTATCATACGTCCCACACACCTGGTGGTAATACTTGTTCCCATTTTCTCAAGCAGCCTCTTCATCTGCAGCTGAACATACAGAGGATTACATCTCTCTCCTATTTGTTTAGCCATACAAAATGCTTTGAATGATTTTCGTCTCTATCCCCCTTTCACATTTTTTCTTGATAACACTAATGCACTTTATACTCAACATGTGCTTGTTGCATTATTCTGAGCTTCTCAAGAAGTGTCACAGAGCTCACGATCATTAACATGATTTATGGTTTATTTTTGTTCAAGCTGGAAGTCTGGTCACAACAGCTGGCCGGGCTACACCACATCTTACAGTTACTATGCCAAGTCTAACACTGTGTAGACAGTCCATAGTTCTAACTTCTATTCTATTGCTCCTTCTTGTTTTAAGTTGTGGACCAGAGAATGTATATTTACAAAACTTCAAACCTTAAAGTCTTAACTTTTCAAACAGACAAAAAAGCACAAATCTATCAAGATTATTCTTTTTTTTTGCCTTTTCACAACACTAAATTGCAAAATGCCCCTCTTCAGATTTTCCATTTACTTGTTGCTGTGTTTTTGTCATAACCAACTTTTCTCTCCCTCCAACAGCCAATGGGGCACAAAAAAGGGGCAATGCTCTCCCTAAACCTGGCGCTATGTCAAGAGAAAAAAATGGTAAAGAAACACCTTGAAAACAACTGAAGGGGCACAATTCTATTCTGTCACAGAGGGTCACACTGATCTGTGCTTTTGTGGCAGCTTGCTCTTGCTTTGCTCTGTGTTTAAAATCACTGTTTATGTATGTGTCGTTGCTACTATTACTGCCTGCTGCTGACTGAAACCATGCATAATTTCAGCTGAAACCAAATATTACAAAAAGAGCAATATTTCCTCTTTTAGAAGTACGAACACCTTATCCATTTTCTAAAAGCCAGATAATTAGAGAGATCTTTTTTAATCTACAATCAACATCAAATTAAGACCTTTACATAAAGTAAGATAATTATTTAATTCAAATCAGTTTATATAGCCCCAAATCCCAATTCACAACACAACATCTCAAGGAACTTTACAGAGACAATGTAGTCAGTTTGGTTAAGTCTCTATCAAGGAAAATCAGTTGAGTGCATTAAGTTATTGACTTGAAAGACATGCTCCTGGATGAGCTTGCAGTGATGATTTTCGCTTGAATTTTGCCATTGACTCTTCAGCAATCCCCCCCACCAAGCATTCATGCATCAACAATGGAGAAGAGAAATTCCATTTTAACGTAAGGAAGCCTCCATCAGAACCAGGCTCAGTGTGAGCAGCTTTCTGTCGACACCGCCTAGGGTTTAAGGAGATAGGGCAGACTTACAAATGAAGCAGATATGCAAAAAGTAAATGTTAACTAGCGCCACAGGTGGTCCAGTCCAAGAAAAACACGTCAGGCAGATGAGCTCTGAGCGAATTCTCATGTCAAAGGATGAAAGAAAGCACATACAAAAAAACAGGACTGCATTGAAAAATTAGGCCCTACTCCAACATCTGATTCCATCTGTTGATGGAAGCAGATCTGCTGATACTTCAACCCAGGATGGAGTCGCAGTCAAACATGAACAGGCCAGATGAAGCTACTGTGACTACACATAAAGTTTGGGTGGACAAACTAACAAATTGTCATGATCGGTTTAGAGATAAACCCACATGCAGAACACCACTGAGACTTGGTAAAAGGTTTAACAGAGTTTATTAAAGTTTCACACAAACAAGACAAGATTCAGGTTCAGGTCCGGGCAGGATTCTCTGGCGTCTGCAGAGACGGATAGTTGGTTAGCTGGGTATGCAGATAAGTTAACTGGGTTTTCAGATATTTCAGTGGATACCTTGAAGAGGTCCAGGTTTGTTCTGAGAGAGGGAACCGGTTGGGTCCAGAGACTGTAGGTTCAGCAGAGTGCTCAGCAGCAGCAGCGTCTTACTTCTGACTTCCAGTGAACAGAACTTGGTTGAAGTGATTAGCTCTTTCCCAAGAGCAGCAGGTGGATTCCAGAATGTAGTCTTCAGGTTTGGCTCTCTAGGGCAGGCAGGCAGGCAGGCAGATTCAGGTTAAGCTCATCCAGAGCTTCTCTCGAGAGACTGGTTTCCAAACTTGGCTAACACTGCGGCGTCGAAGCAAGGTCTGGCAGCTGCTTATAAAGGCCGGTCTCCTGATGAGCTGATGAGCGTCAGCTGTGCTGGAGGGCTCCAGCCCAGGAGGATCCACAGCGCACTCTGCTCGAGAAGGTGGAGAATCTCCAGATCCCAACACAAATAGTGCAGAATGGGAGAACAAAGATTGAATGAAGCACAGTGAGGAAAATTGGTGCCTAGGTCATCCAGCAGTCTAAAGGTATAGCAGCATAAATAGAGAAAGTAGATTAAGATAAGCTAACTATTTAATTAGTTAGTTATCCCCCGCTGGATGAGGGGGTTCACTCTACCTCCTCCTACTTCTCTTCTCACCCAAAAACTAAGTAAACATCACTATTTATTTTTTTTACTATACGCTTTATCAAAAAGGAAGGTTTTAAGTCTAGTCCTAAAAGTAGACAGGGTGTCTGCCTCACAGAGCAAAACTGGTAATTGGTTCCAGAGGAGAGGAGGCTGATAAATAAAAGATCTGCCTTTCATTCTACTTTTAGAATTTCTAAAAACCTGCAGATGGAGAGCAAAGTGCTCTGTTAGATACATAAGGAACAATCGGATCAGTGATATAAGATGGGGCTGGGTTATTCAGGGTTTTATACATGAGCAGGAGGATTTTAAATTCTATTCTGGATTTAATAGGAAGCCAGTGAAAGAAAACCAAGACAGGAGAAATATGATATCTCTTTTTAATTTTAATCAGAACTCTGGCTGCAGCATTTTGGATCAGCTGAAGGGTTTTAACTACATTTTGTGGACTTCCTTTTAGTACTTTGCTTTTGTGGTAACCTCACAAAAGAAAACAATTGTGCACTATTATTACTACTGCAAGTTAACCTAAAGAATCACAGTTTTAAACCCAATTCTACTAATTAAGGAAATGTATGTGAACTTCTGACTTAAAAACAAACATACAAACACAGTTTGTTTCTAAAGCTGCCTATTTAGCAAATAGAAATGCATTTTATAAGCTTAACTGACCTTCTGCATGTTGCCAATGTACTGGTCATTTGCACATTTAGCCACTTTGTTTTAATGAATCTGAAAGCTTTTACAGTGCTTTGTTGGAATCATCCTTTATTTGATCAATCATATAGTTCTTATTCTGCCAGACAGGCCCAGGTAATTACTCTTATTTAATTCATCTTAGCTTGAAATGCAAATGACATCGGTGGAGATTGTGTTAACGGTTACGCCTTACCTAAAACGGTTTGGAGCTGCACAAAGAGATTGTGTTTCAGTCACGAGTGGAATCACAGCTGGTGTGTGTTATTGCTGGAAACTTGGACAGTTTCAGAGGTCTTCAAGGAGTCGAAAGGCTCCCTTGAAGCAGTTCTACAGAAAGCAAAAAAGTGGCTGTGCCTGTAAGTCCTGCACATATAAGCAACTGTTTATATGCTAAAAGTCAGGGTACCCTATATTGTTAATATCTTTGAACAATTTATGCTTTTCTCCATCTTATCAACCAGAATTTTTTTAAATACGGTTTTTAAAATGCTCATTAGGAATTGCATTTAGAAACTCTGCATTTGGCAAATGTAATCCTACAACTTTCAGTTCCTTAGTCCCCCTGAATCTTCTGTGCTTCTGTATTCTGTTCATTTTTAGTGCTGATAGCATCCTGTTCTGCCCTGATACTAGAGCTGATCTAATTTGTTCTTGATCCTTTTTTTTTTTTGCCTCCTTAAAGTGCGTTGAATTTATTCATCCATCTACTAGTGCTGTGTATACGAAAAGTAGGGTTGTTTTGTCCTTAATTCTTTCTATCCCATGATCCTCCGATGCCTCCTAAGTATCAATATGCAGCAATACATAACTGTCCATGTGGCCAACTTTGAATTGCCCATTTTGGCGCAGTGGTGGGTTTCTATATTTTTGTTTTTGCAAGAGCAGTAGACCCCTAATCTTTGTTTTGACTAGACGTGTATCGTTGGTCTTACCAGAAAATAAGTAGTTCTGAGAGAAACCAGAGCTCACACCACTGTTTTTTGTGTCTAAACCTAAAGTCTTTGAGAAATCACAGGTCCAGTCCACTATTACAGAGGGACTGCACAATAAATATCCTTTCTGCAAAGAGTATATCCACCAGGTATTATCAAATTCTATACAGATGTATAATTGGCATTCTATTTTATCATCAAAGAGCCTACTTTTCTGCTGATTTTGTTGTATTTCTTAATTTTTTTCTGAGACATCTTGCAAATCGCAGCCTGACTTTACAACTGGACTTCATATGCGAGCAGCTGTTTGCCTTCAACTGAAAGCTGGCAGCTAATGCTCAGCTTTTATTAATGTTTTTTAAACTTTTCATCTTGGCAGTCAGCTACAGAAAAAAAGGAAACACATCCAAGAAAAATATGTAGTGGCCTCAAAACCTAGCGCGTTGTTGTATCTTGTCAAATTAATGGCATTTATCAATTCTCAAAGATAGAAAATGAAAAAGGGAGTGCATGCTCTGGAAGGAAACTGTATCTTTAACTAATTTAGATATACAGTAATATTTAACCATCAAGCACCCCTGAGGCTCATGGCCTCTTCTGAGTTTGTGATTAATTTGGTATCATTTTGCTCTTTTAAAAACAATGATTTATTGTGTTTCATGAGGCCAATGTTTTTATTTTAATTTTTCTTTGGCAGTAGGCCTGTTTTTAATTCCCCCTTGTTTTTATAATCCCCTTTAGCTCTATTTTATCATTTATTTGTCTAAGTGAGTTTAAATGAGTTAAAGGTTATAATGATGCTCTGCCATTTTTTAAAACAAAGTAACTTCATAGCATTTTTAACCTATGCTGCGTCTGTTTCTTGTACACTTTAGTTTTCCAGTATCCCCTGAAGCCTTTTTCCTGTCTAAATGTCCTTCCCTTTTCCCTTAAAACTGACATTCCTTAATAATTATTGCACTTTTAAAACTTTAACACTTGTTTTCAGATTCTCAGTGTTGGCCATCTGTTGCTATGTTTCCTTTGTGGGTTTAGCCTCAAACAGGCTCTTCTTTCCAACAATTTCCTGCAGTTCAGCGACCCCCTGTTCCTGGCAACAAGACACCAAACCTGGTGGGGAAAACGAGTGATCATGGTGAGGGCTCCAAAAAAAAAGTGCATTTTTTGTTTGTTTTTGTTTTTCATTTTAAGCTCACAGTCCCATGCAGAGTTCAGAGAGAAAGCATGTAAAAAGAGATCCAGTGCAGTCGACAGACTGTATGTTGTAAAAGCATCTATAATGAGAATACTTTTTCAGAATGCATCCAGTTGGTTGATATGTTGAATTTATTTGGCCCCTTCATCCATGCAGGGTTGAAGTGGGGGCTGTTACCAATTTCAACCTGGAGAGAGTCACACAGAAAAAAGGTGGAATTAAAACGGTTTTATTAAGATTGATTAAATAAGTTCTTTGGAGCTCGGGCCCCGGCTGAAAACTTTGATGCTGTGAATCGACATTCGCTTGGAATAGTATCCTAGGAAATGGATCAGAGTAGTCTTCCCCCCGTGCCTTGGACACTGGTGGCGGAATAAGCCAGAGACTGAGTGGGATTGACAATAGTCTGAGAGTGAGGGAGGAGGTGGGTGAAAGTTCACTGACATGCAGGAGGGGAGCTGGTCCATGAGCTAGATGAAGGGGATCTTGAAAGATAATTTGCTTTGGTGGAGGGATGGTCCCAATGTTGATTAGCTGAAGCTTGACCAAGGAAAATCGCAGGTGGTCCAGGTGAAGCTGATAGGAATCTTCTAGATAGAATTTTCTCTTAAGTTTCATGTTACAAGTCAACAGGCTGCAAACTTTAAAATCCAACAAGCCATTTGCCCTGAATCCAGCTGAATATAAGTCATTTAAAGCTGTAAATAACATGACGTTTATAACATTTTATTCTTGATCAAAAACATATGCCAAATCAACCATTTTATTTGTGTGTTTAGGTTTTGAAATAAGGCAAAATATAAATTGTTTTATAAAGGAGAAACTTTCTTTTAAAGGACGTTATTTGCAAGAATCCATCGATCCATTTTCCATCCTGCTTTATCCCAAGTGGGGTCATGAGGGGTGCTGGTGCCTATCTCCAGCTGTTAACGGGCGAGAGGTGGGGTAGAGTCCTGCAACGGGTCGGGTACCCGCGGGTCCCCGATGGGTCACCCGCTAAAATGCTCTTTTGC